GCCCAGGCCGGAGTGCAATGGCATGATCTTGGCTCACTGCAACCTCTGCCTTCCAGGTTCTAGTGATTCTCCTGCCTCTGCCTCCCAAGTAGCTGGGATTACAGGCACATTGCCACCACACCAAGCTAATTGTATTTTTAGTAGAGACGGGGTTTTGCCATGTTGGCCAGACTGGTCTTGAACTCCTGACCTCAGGTGATTCGCCTGCCTTGGCCTCCTAAAGTGCTGGGATTACAAGCTTGAGCCACCATGCCTGGCCAAGTATGATCTGTTATTTTCAGTTTTGAAAGAGTCAGACTTTGATGCTTATGAAGTGGTCTTAAGTATAGAATCTTATATTTTTATGATTTTCTTCTACTTAGGATATTTTCATTTAGATCTAAACTGGTTATAAATACCTAACTTATCTTTTTAGTTTTTCTTTCGTATTCAATTTAGGGAACAATTCTTTTCGTTCTCATTTCTTAAGTTTACACAATACTGAATTCTCTCATTAGGATAATAAATGCAACTGATTCAAAGAGGTTTGAAAAAACAAAACAGTCTTAGTTGGCATGTAGCCCAACTTATGGGAGGGAACATGGACGCACCAGAATAACCTAGCTGCAATCATTAGTCTTCACAATTTACTGAGGTTTTGGGGAGAGCTGATATTAGTCTGTTGAGTCTGTTAAGTTGAGATCATTCAAGAAAGCTGTAATAGTAATAGAAATCCATTAAACATGGATTAAACAAAGAACAGAAGTAGTAAATAAAAAGTGCTCAGGAAGCCAGGAGCAAGTAGTATAGTCAAGACTCAAGAGAAACCAAAGATGGATGGCCACTCATTCTTCTGGATCTCAGAAACTCTAAACTTTGAGTTTTACTAATGTTTTCTCCTGGATTATGAAATTGAAAGTTGATTACTGTCACCTACTTAGGGAATTTCTCTTTTCACATAGTGTTTAATTCTTAAGTGCAAATGTTTGCCATGGGTGTTATTTTATGCTATTTTTGATAAAGAATCAAGATATAAATCGTCCACAACATTGCCTCTTTGTCCAACTCTTTCCTGATTTCATGTTCAGCTGGTGCTTTATTTTCTAGCAGTTTTAAGAAGTTCTAGCAGTTTTTAGAAGTTTCTAAAAACTTCTAACCAATAAGTTTTTAGAAAATTACATCTTAATGCACACCTGTGCAAAAGTATGATGTATTTTAAAATTTATATCTAGAGGTTAAGATATTTAAAAGGAGAGTGTGTGTGTTGGAGTGTTTATTCAGTGTTTTAGTAGAAAATAACACATTTTGCATAAGAATAGTAACTTTTTTCTATTAAAGTGTGTTTGTGTATTTATACTCTAGGTGGCAATCATAGAAGAGTTAGTAGTAGGTTATGAAACCTCTCTAAAAAGCTGCCGGTTATTTAACCCCAATGGTAAGTGCTCAAGTTTTACATTTTAAAAACATCTTGCAAATTTTTAATATATTGTGAAATTCTTAATCAGAAGGTCAGTATTATTAATTACTTAGGCAGTAAGCACTAGTGCATTAAATTTTTTTTCCCTCTAAGATGGAGATCCATTAATTTGCACATTGTGTGATGATATTTGGTTAGAAGAGAATTACATTATCTTTGTTTTTTGTATTTTGGGTATTTTTTGAGACATGGTCTTGCTCTGTTCCCCAGGCTGGAGTGTAGTGGTGTGAACACAGCTCACTGCAGCCTTGACCTCCTGGGCTCAAGCAATCCTCCTGCCTTCTGTGTAGCTGGGAACACAGGCATGCCACCACCATGCAAGGCTAATTTTTCAATTTTTTGTAGACATAAGGTCTCACTTTGTTGCCCAGGCTGGTCTCAATCTCCTGGACTCAAGTGGTCATCTTGCATTGGCCTCTTAAAGTGTTGGGATTATAGGCATGGGCCACTGTGTCCAGCCTCATATTGGTTTATTGAAAAGAATGTTATTTAAAAGTTTAAAAATATTCACAAAACCAAATTATCAGTATAATGATCCTCTCTTTACCCAGCACTCAGTTTCAATGATTTTTAATTTGTATTGAATTTATTTATAGCCTCTCCTACTTTTCTCTACTCCCATATTATTCTGAAGCAGATTCTAAATATCACATCATTTTATCCATGGATATTTCAGTATGTCTAAAGAGAAGGACTTAACCTAAAATATACCCTAATACCACTCATGCCTGAAAATTATTATTATTATTATATTATTATTATTATTTTTTTTGAGATGGAGTCGTGCTCTGTTGTCCAGGCTTGAGTGCAGTGACACGATCTCAGTTCACTGCAGCCTCCGCCTCCCATGGGCAAGTGATTCTCCTTCCTCAGCCTCCTGAGTAGCTGGGATTACCGGTGCCCACCACTATGCCTGGCTAATTTTTGTATTTTTCGCAGAGATGGGGTCTCACCATGTTGGCTAGGCCAGGCTGGTCTCAAACTCCTGACCTCAAGTGCTTCAGCCCCCCAAAGTGCTGAGATTACAGGTGTGAGCCACCATGCTGGGCAAAAATTAATACTTTCTTAACTATTCAGCCTGTGTTTACATTTCCAGATATATTATAAATGTCATTGTTTTTTTCTTGTCTTTCCTTTTTTGAAGTTTGTTTGAATGAAGATCCAGATAAGATTTGTACTTTGAATTTAGTTGATATGTCTCTTAAACTCTTGTAATCTGTGGGTTTCTGTCCCATCCTTTTTCCAGCAATTTATTTGTTGAAGAAATTTTTTTTTTCAGTTTTCCCAGTCCAGAATTTGCTGACTGTACCCCATGTGTTGCTTAACACATTATTCCTTGCCTTCTGAATTTCCTATAAACTGGTAGTTGGATGTAGAAGTTTGTTGCTAGTATGATAGCCAGTAGCACAGTGGCTGATTAAAATTTTTAAAAAATTAAATAAATTCCATTTCTCAGCTGCAATAGCCACATTTTAAGTGCTACTCAATAGCTATACATAGCTAACGCCTACCATGTTGGACAGGGAAAATGTAGGACACTTCTGTCATGACAGAATTTTCTAATGGACAGGTCCGACTAGAGATTTGATGAGATTCAGTATTGTTTTGATGGCTTTGCTTTTGTTTTTGTTTTTCAAACAGGGGAGTGAGCAAGATTCTTACAGGTGGTAGCATATTCTTCTATTTGTAGGCATATAGTGTGTGTTTTATATGTTAGCAACTGTTGAGAATTACCAACTGGTGATATTCTATTATTCTTTATTATCTTAAAAGAGAAAATTCTCTTCCTCTATTGTCTGTTTACACAATGTTTTGGTTTGCATAGGAAAAGCATGATAAATGGATTTTTTTTCCCGCACCCTGCTTTTTAAAATTTCTTTATCAGTTTTCAAAATAATAATAAATTGTTGGTTCAGTAGCATCCTTCAAAGACAACAAATACATTTTTAAAAAGTATTACAAATTCATGGGTTTAAGCATATTTGATGTTTTAAATCTCAAATGGTCCCATTCTTTACATACCATAGTAGTAGTTGATAGCTTCTTGGGTGTTAATAAGACAAGATATTCCAGTTTATTGCTGCTACTGCAGATCTGGAATCAATTGTTTTTCCTAGGAGTTCTGGTTCCTATAGTGGGAAAGCCCAGTATGGGACCCTGGGTGCATATTGCTATTGGGTTGGTCATTGTTTCTAGATCTCAGATTAATTTTAATAGTACTTTTTGAAAAGGTGTTACCATGGTTTCATTGGTTAATCATCCTGATGTTCCTTTGATTATCAGCATTTTCCTACATATTTTACAAATGTGGAAGAGGTTCAATGACATGCCCAAGAATATGCAGCACTTTTGTTGCAGATCTATCAGATGGGGAGTTGGTGAGTTCCACTCCTATTATTTGTCCACTGAGCCATCCTGCTTTTACTAGAGAAAAAACAAAAAAACAAAAAAACAATCCGTTGCTTTCTTTGAGAGCACATAACAGTTCTCAGATTTTAGAAATTTGTATTAAAAAAGAATTTTTTAATGTGTGGATTGTATATTTAACTTACACATTTTCTTGTGAGTATATTAAAATTAAATAATAAACTACAATATAAAGCTTTTTTACTTGTCATCTCATTTTTAGGGTATAATTTTTATTTGACTTAAGTTATGCATCTTTGCATATTCAGCATGATATTAAAATATGTAAAGAATATAATCACCAAATTCAAAACAACCACATTACAAGTATGTTTACATACAGTTTGGTGCATTAGCTAGAAACTCAGTTAAGCAGTCAGGGCTTTTTTTTTTTCTTTTTTTTTTTCATCTCACATGAATGGAGAAAATTTTTAATTTTTTCCCCCTTTATAAACAACATCCTGATCAGTATGCTCTCATAGTTCTAGTACAGCTTGTCTCCCCACTACCTATTTCAGTTTTCTTTCTAGGTAGTTGGACCTTATTTATCTCCCATGTTTGTTTCATGAAGCTATTATATGCAAGACATTGCGATAGGGGTTGTAAGGATGCAGAACAGAAAACATGGACCTTTCCAAAGATCTTACAGACTTAGGGGGGTTTTATAGTTAGATATATAAATAAACTCCTTTCGTAGTGCCTCCCTTATTAATAAACATTAATAGGGACCATTTTGGGGGGTGCTCTTAATATATGTAATGCCTCATCTTAGTTTCTTCTCCCTCTCTCCCTCTTCCCCTAAGATGATGGAAAGGAGGAACCACCAACCACATTACTTTGGGTCCAGTACTACTTGGCACAACATTATGACAAAATTGGTCAGCCATCTATTGCTCTGGAGTACATAAATACTGCTATTGAAAGTACACCTACATTAATAGAACTCTTTCTTGTGAAAGCTAAAATCTATAAGGTAAAAATCTTTTTTTTTTTTTTTTTTTTTAATTTTCTTATAAGGGAATGAGACTTG